TTAAGTTTTATTTATTAGCCCGTATGCAGACCACCTCTGAGCTTGGGACTATTTCATAGTAGGTAGTTACTATAAATTTAACTTACTATAATTATACAACATGTAACAAGAACCCTGTGGTTCCCGTTAACTGCATTATCAGAATCAGTATCCAAGCGTATAGAAATAATTTTTTTTTTCAAAAAAACACATTTAAAAAAGTATTCTAATGGAAAAAAATTAATTTGCAAATTATATGTAGTTTTATTTCCTCTAATTAACACGAGTAACGGTAAGCGGGATCTTTGACAATCTTCTTACTCCCTGGCCAATGCAGAGATAATAAAACCACATACAATTTGCAAATTAATTTTTTTATTTAAATTAATTTTTATTAATGTGTTTTTTTGAAAAAAAAAATTCTATACGCTTGGATACTGATTCTGATAACGCAGTTAACGGGAAACACAGGGTTTTTGTTACATGTTGTATAAGCGCTCAACTTCATAGTAGCAGAAATGGTAAAGAGTGAAATTAATTATCGTTACTTACAGCATATCAAAAGTACACTGCTAAACATAGGCCTATCCTATAGATTCATAGGAGGATATTTGCCAATGCTTGGCAATTATCCCCCTCGAAATCGCTTCTCAACCTTTTAGCTACGATCAAAGTGCAAAATAACAATTATTCTAAATTATGAAATAATATTATTGAAATCGATCAATGTCACTTGACCACTCTAGCAAATTAACTACAACTTATATAATAGTCAATATTCAAGACAGTGTCAGAATTTAAAACAAAAGTGGAAAAAGCGTATTACAGTATAGACGTAACTAGTTATAATGCTCGTGAGTTGAATTTTGATATGTATATTATATTATTGATATGAAGGTGAAAGTACCTGCCTACCCTCACGCCTGACTTTACATATAAAGAATCATGAATTCTATTTTAAAGAAACTAGTACCCACTGCATATTTTTGATGTCTGTTATATTGGCCAATCGAACCCGCAGATGATGTAAATGAGCCGTGGTTGCACAAGAGCTTACCGCTTGCTGTAATTTCATAGTACGTGAACAACCCGGCACAAATGAAATTGTTAATTGCAATTTTAAGTGTTGATTTACCATATGGTCGACGGTGAAGGAAAACATCGGAGGTAACCGGCATGTCTGAAAAATAAGAAAAAAATATTTCAAAGACACATGAAGTCCGCCAACACACATTGAGGCTGACGCGGCGGATACTTCCTTACCCTAAAACCTTCTCAGAAATGAGGGGAGGGCTGTGCCAGCCGTGGGAAGTATGTAGACTGTAACGTTTTCCGTAAATATTTCAAAATATGACGGCCTACATTGTTGTACTAATCGATATTGCTAACAGGAAATAAATCTTGGTATTTGTGTATTTGTTATAACTTAATAAATACTTATAATTAATTTTGAGGTAATGTAATTATTTTTTTTCCTAATATTTTTATAGGATAGATTTATAGGATTTTTATAAAAGATAGTAAAACAGTCTTAAATAGTAATTAAATATCCTAGTTCCTGGCAGACATTGAAATTTTCATTTCAAATATATACCTAAATTTAAAACAGATCTTTGACAAATAAAACTTCCATTTCACGACGTCCCTAATAGTACCTATATAATATCAAAAGGCCGAAATTAAAAACATTCGTTACCTTTCACCGCCATGAAATCTGTTCAAAACCGCCTCTTCCAGCTCTTGAGATATGGGTACCCGGGCAGATCTTTTCCCACGTCTATTATCTAAATAATGCCCAATGTAATTTGCCATCACAGATGCAGCTTCCCCACCCATCGATCGTGCGAAAATTGGTGGAAGATCGCCGTATGGATTTTCATTATCTGTGAGTCCCAGTTTGTCGAAATCAACTGTAAAGTATTAAATGCATGTTATTACATAACTAGTTATGGTGGAAACTTCTGGTAAATGTCTTTGGTGATAACAATTTATAAATAAATTTGAAACGATTGCATTTGACACAACATTTGACGGCGTAGTGACGGTGTAAGAGTATCCACTACCCCATTTCATCCCGCGGATGTCGTAAGAGGCGACAAATGGAAACTGGACCAAGAGATGGGCAGAAACACTGATAACAGCTGAATAATAAAAAACTTCGGTTGCCAACCTGCTTGGGATATTTGGGATAGTTACCATGCGATGAGGCTATAGGGGAGGTCTATGTACAGCATTAGAGTTTTTATAAGCTGTAATAGATTACATTTCTCAACGTTCAGAAATGATAACTTTCTTGCTGACCTCAATATTTACAATAATAATATACGTAATGGCAATATAATTCATAACATACTCATTACGGTACGTACTGATGTAATCTATGTTAATTTGTTAGCATACCTAACTCTAGGTATAGAGCTTACTATAGGTACTACAATACAGCAAAACTCAAAATAGGAATTATGTTAATAATCATGACAGTAATAAATATATACATAAATGTATATTTACTTATTTGTTACTATAACAAGTGACGTAGTATAGACAAGTGCGAGTGGCAAGTGAGAAGTGGCAAGTGGGAAGTGACAAGTGTGTATTTTATTCCCACTTATCACTTGTCACTGCCTGTTCACACGCACTAAGCACTTGTCGTTTGTCAGTTGCACTAGCCACTCACACTTGTCACTTCTCAGAATGTAAACCGGGTCTCAATTAGAACTAAATACGTTATTAGTTTGAATAATTTCTATTTAAGTTGTCATAATATGATTTGTGGTGGTAAAAATACACCTGTAATAAATATTACCCTTTCAACCTTTTCTTTTGATGTTACTAATATCTACGTGTTTTTTTACATATGTGACTTCTACTCAAATCTGGTAGAACCTGAAAGTACTGACTTTGAAATTCCAGTTGGTACATCAGTGTACCTGCAAAGTGTTAAATATACAGTAAAATAGTTTAAAAAAACGCTATCATTATGTATTTAATTTTTCATCTCATTTTTAATATAGTAATATTTTAAAGACTGGTAAAAATTATGAACCATTAAAATAGACTAACTTGTAAATGGAAAGCTGACTGTCATGTTGGACAAAAATCCTTTCGGAGGATGCCGAACAAATGGCATCGACAGCGAAGGTGTTATAGCCATTGTAGTTCCTGGTGGCAGAGCTAGTCGTCCATCATTGGTTATCCAGAGTAATCTCTTTTGTCTTGAGTGAGGTATGTTTTCTTTGGAAATGTGCTCCTGGTTTGTAGACGCCATAGGCAGAAAAACTGCAAGTGCTATACTAATCAACACACGAGGTACTCTTGCCTCCATTATGCACCTGCGAACGAAACATGAATAAACATAATATTATACTGTCATTAATTTAAGGTTCTTTGTGTAGAATGTAGAATTTGACTTCCAATAAAGTATCCAGCAAGTAAATAATTGTTAACTAATATTAAATATATAATATAGGCTGATACAATAAATAGAGTTAAAAAACTTCTCATTCAAATTCAAACTGAAATTGCTTGCCAAAATGTAAGATGGTACATTATTGATAAGATATGTACTCGTATACATGTAACGCCATAGTAAAACCAGAGAGTTAACATTTGATTATGAGCTATAATAATCCTAGTAAGAATATTATCTCATAGTCATGAAATTATTGTATTGTCACCGGATGTTATATACGTCTGCTAAATTTAAAATTTTCAGGTGTTCAGAAAAGGGTGAACTTTGAATTTTAAAAACCATTACATACATACCACTACAGGGCAAGCAAAAATATATGTTTATATTTATGGGTAATTAGCTGCTATCTAGCGCGTTGTTGCCGCAGAAGAAAAATCGTAGAATTATCGTTTTAAATTTGGAAGAGTTATGGTCGCCACACACGGTCAGTTCAACCGATCATTCCAATCGATCTGTTCAAACTAAGACTGTTGATATTTCTTAAAATATCGGATTGTCGATATATCGATAATTATAAATATATCAATATCGGTGTTATATATATATAAAAGTTTATTTATCGAAAATCCGATATTATGAAAAATATCAACAGTCCTAGTTTGAACTGATCAGTTGAGAATTAGTGTCATTATATGATTAGAAAGATATTGAATGATATAGAACTTTCAAATAAATTTGTCGATACGTACAACGGTAAGTTAATTGTACTATGCCTATAATCTTCGTGGAAGTGCAAGCAATAAGTTGACACAGTTTTACTGCAAACTGATGAACGGTATGGCAACGCATAAAATACGAACAAACGAACATTAACTTTTATATATTAGATATATAGTTTAAAGCATTGACATTAATATAATATTATATAATATCTACGTATCTATCATAACATGAAATAACGCACATATATGTTTAATTACTATACTCTTTGGTAACGCACATAGATTTTATTTGTATACCGTATAAATAATCTGTGATATAACCGTGGAGGAATGGAGGTTAGAAAACAACCTCCATGGGTATACCATTTAATGACAAGCCTTATTTTATTTTATGTCAAAATCAAGTTTTTTAGATTTTATTTCTTTATTTTACTTGTTCCTTATGAATTAGTACCTAGTTTATTATCCAAACAATACAACGTAGGTTTTATTATTATATTTATTATACAAGTTACTACTGTGTGAACTAGTATATCTTCTTTTTATCAGACCTTTAAAGTCCACTGCTGGACATTCACAGAACCAATTGCACTTTTAATGCTGCTACCTGTCGTCGATCTGATATGTACTTTAAATCTGGCTTAAACGAAATCATTATAAAACTATCTATAAAGAACAGAGTCGTAAGACTTTTCTGGCATTTCCCATGGTCACCTCTGCCGACGCCCAGCGAAGATGAAATGGGGTGATGAATTGAACACGTACATTATATTACTAATTTACTGACTTACATTATTGAGCGCAATTGGTTTTCAGATTCTACGGCTTATTTAAATATGAAACCCTATGAATATAAATGCGTTCGTATTAGAGATATTGAACATGAAATGGACTTGAACGATTTTATAAAATCGATAGAGCGTCGGTATAAAATTGACTTTAAAACACTGCCTCAATGGAAACAACTAATAAAAAAATTAAATTTCGTAGAAATGGATTATAGCCGCAAACTTCATGAGGTTAAATTAAGAAAGCTTTTCATTGTCAATAAGCTTTATACAGAAAATATGAGACGGACACCTTTTGAGTTAACTGAAAAATTGGCACGAACGGCTAACTTTTGGCATAAAAGTCGTTTGACGAGTAGACAAACTAGCGAAAATCAAACATTAAATACCAAAAAAGATGTCCACCCTGTTCCATCAATTCAGGATTCCAAAGATTCTGTTAGAAAAAATAACGATCCGCTTTCGGAACAAGAAGCTTTATTACACGAACTCGTTTTTATGGATGTGGATAAAGATACAAATAATTTACCTCTTATTATTTCTAATCAACACAAATTGTTGTCACCACTTAATTCTCAAGACAGTGATTTAAGTTACCATACCTTAGAATCGATTAGCTTACACAAGAAAACTAAAACAAATCAAACAGAATGCCACTTCGTACATTTTAATGGTGTAAAATGCGATCCAAAGAAAATTATTATTAGGGATAGCACTTCTGAGGAGCAGACTATAGAATTTACTTTAAAGAATATTAGTAATGATTGTTGTAAAGTAATGTTTGAAAACATAGTCAATCCTAGATTTTTCATGAATGCAAAAGTATTTCCACCAGTGACTATAAAATTGTATCCTGGTTTGTCCTTTGTTTTCAATTTTAATTTTAACCTCTTACAAAATAAAGTAGATTTTTCGACAGACTTGTTTTTCAGAATACTTTCTAAAGTTTCTAAAGGAGCCCAATTATCACGCCTTTGTATTCCTATTTGTACCAAATTTTTTGACCCAATATCGTTATCAGTCTCTAATGTTGTTTATATCCCACCAGTCTATAAATGGCATTTAAATTCAAAGTTTGGATATCCCTCTGGTATAATCACAATTGAAGTTAAAAATGACAATGAATGCTATTTCAGATTAATTAACCGAAAGAAAGATTTAGCAAGAGATCCAAGTCATACGTCTGTTGACACCGTTGCAAACTCTGAATCTGTTATAGATCGAATTGAAGATGATAATTTAATAAACGACACAAGTACGTGGTCAACGACAAAATTACTTGCGAATAAGAACTACAATGACGCTGAAAAAATCAACAATTTTATAAAATTTATTATTAATGATATTATCGAAGCTTCTTTGGATACATTTCTTTTTGATTTACGTTGTAATCATTTGCCACCAAAGTCCATTAAAAAGATTAAGGTGACTTTTCACAAGAGTGAACATACAGGTTTTCATCAGACTTATTGTGATATAGAATTTCGTTGTATTGACAACGGTGAAATTATTGAAACAAGAACGGTTAAAATTTTTGCCGAAGTTTTACCACATCCATTGAAAATAAGCCCAGTTATATTAGATATGAGTAATTCACCAGTAGTGCACGGCATGTACAAGGACCATTTTGTCTTGACAAACACACACAAAATTTACTGCGTCAAGATTCAAATTAAACCTTTAGCCATAATGCGTAAATTGCTAACAATTACACCTATGACAATAACGATACTGCCGGAGTCAAGTATAAAATTTCAAGTTACTATGTGCTCTTCGGACAATGCGTCTGAACTTGATGATGAAGTAAAGGATATGGTCCATTTTACGTTTAAAATTATTGCAACAGGTGTCAAATCGATATACGATGGTATACCTCCAATCTACTATGAAATTATTGCGCCTTGTGCTTTACAATTTCATGAAGCTAAAAAAAATAAAGTGAATGTTAAAATATAATGTTCAATGTTTTAGTTAGTATGTAATAGTTTCTGTTTGATTTTATTTGTAACAACTCTTTATTTAAAAAAATCTTAAAAGTGAGTTATAATAAAACATAAAAACATCAAATGCAATCCAAATACATCTTATTAAATATAAATTACGTGTCACGTTGTTTGTCCGCGATGGACTCCTTAACTACTTAACCAATTGTAATCAAACTTGCACACCGTGTGCAGTTAGTTCCAACTTGAGAGATAGGATAGTTTTTTGCCCATGAGTGACCCACAATTTTTTTACGAATTTAAGGATTTTTTATAGGAATTGTCAAAGGGTCGTCGAAAAGGGCAGAACAACGTCTGCCTGGCAAGCAAGTATTACTAATAAAACTTTTATAGCTTTATGTTTTATTTAATCGTAGAACAATTTATAATAAAAGTAAACACATTATACATGAGTCAATAAAATTTGTAAACGGTTTAAATGGAATGTCATCCACGGCAACGTCAAGGATGAAACCTGTTAACGTGGCCGACTTTTATGTATTACAGGTCAAGTGAGTTTGTTGCCTGCACCCGCATAATATTCCAGTTCAGATCCCCAGGTCACGAACAAACCGGTTTCATACGACAATCGATATTAAATCAACGTGAATGATGATGGCATGCGATTATTGTTATATGAAGTCTTATTATTGTGACACCAGTATTGGTGACGGTTACAAAATAGACATTTACGAACTTTTGAATGTACCTACTCTTAACAAGGTACACCGATAATGTAAAAAAAAAAAATTTTTTTCCAAACTTATCTATTACTACCGTTTCGTAACGAGCTTCATGTGCATAAGCAACAATTCTTTTCTGCAAGTTTTTCAGAACCAGTGGTAAATTAAAAAAAGTGACTTTCAATAAGTATTATAATGTATAACCTATATGGAATAAAAAAGTTTGTGTTTCTGTTTTTTCCAAGGATACCTCCGTTTGTTAATTTTGCAGCAGTGCTGTTTCAGTTTGAAGAGTAAGAGAGTCAGTAGGTATAATTACGAGGGGTAAACGGGGGGGGGGGGGGGGGTTGCATTTTATCTTAGTCCTCAAGAATGACAGCTCATTCGTTTAATAATGATTTTTAGTTTTGCAAGTATCAATCAGCTGCAGTAGACAACCACCGTCGGGTGGACTGTTTGCTCGTTTGTCATTTTTAATGTTATAATTTTTTTTATTGGTAATATAAATTAATTTTATTTAAAAACCTAGCTGCCTAGCGCTATCAGTACCCCAGCATCTTTCAAAACGGCTTCAGTTTCCCGTCAACACTCTTTGGTTAAGTATAACATTGCTTAGAAAAAGTAATTTTACCCAGCAAAACTTCCGTTATTGTGTGAGTTGGAGAACTCCAGAAAAACTATATATAACATTAGCTCGTCTTTTAACCCGTCTTTTTATTTTTTTTTTTTCGTAAATGTTTAGTTTTGGATATTTTTAGTGATTTCTCTTTCTGAAAATAGCGCCTCGTCGCGTAGATGTACGCACAGGGTACTATTTTAGATATATGCGTCGTTAAGTGCCCCGTCGTACCTAGTTTGATTGCCGCGTTGGTTTGGTAGTCGACTGCTGAAGCCATGGTTTTTCAATCAAGAAATTCTCAGTAGCAGCCCAAAAACAGGATATTATCAATGTTTCATTCCCACGTCTGGGAAAGCACGAAAAGCTGTTGGTTTTGCACCTGATCTCTCTCCGGAAGTATCGAATTACCGTCGCATCGGAATATGAGTGAGGGAACAGAGAGAGTAGCTACATGTGCTGGCGCACGCAAACGTACACCATAATCCCATCCTGATCAATTGGCTTGTCTCCGTTGAGACCGGGCAAGTCAGGACATTTTTATGTATTATGGAGTTTGTGCCCCTCGCCCTTCGCTCTCTCATCCTCGAATGCCCAGCGCCTTTTTTATCTTTACTGCCGAAACCGCAAACAGTAATTAGTTTATTCAAATAAATAAAATGCTGTAGAAAATCTCCAAAACGAATATATATTCATTTCTATAATAATATTGTTTACTTGAAAACCTACATTTACCAAACCACATCTCGTAATATTTCTTTCACTTTTAACATAAAATATATTATTAAATAAATTATTTAATGATTGTTTGTAGGCCTAAAAAGCCAATATTTATATTATACATTGATTTATTCAATTAATATCAAATCAAAATCATTAATTCAATTAAAATCAAACTGTTTCTAGACAGCGCACGACGATAAAAAACCCTGTCGGGAACCGTACACCTGTTATTGTGGCTTCGATATTCATGCAGTGCAGAGCGGCGCTAATAATAATTTTATATTAAATTAGCACATATGAAAAAAAAATGAAAATTAAAAAAATGTACTTGATTAACAATACAATCTAAATAAACAATTTTTTATTATGACAATTTTCGCGCGTTTATATCAACTGCGCATGCGCGACTACTGTTTCCCGCGCATGTGCGGATACAGAGTAGTGCAAATTTTTTGTTTGGAATAGCTTCTTTAGTACGTATTACATATAACTCAATGTATTTACCTGGATATAATGTAAGTATGCGAAGTGTAGGGCGACACCTTCCCCTTCCAAGATGGACCGATTTCTTAAGTCGATGACTGCTGTTGGAAGGTTGAGGGCTGTAATGATGATGATGAAAATGGTGGTGGTGATGAAGGTGATAATAAAAGTTTAGATACTGCAGCGTATAATTTAAAGCTTAGAGCAGTGCTAGAAGATTTTTAACTAGTTTGCAAAAGGACGCCTAATGTTTAATATTTTCCTATTATCTAAAATAAAGATTCAATTTTATTTCTAGTTTTATTATGATTTTTCTTTCAAATTGACAAGACTGTTATAGAAAATCATTAAAAATTGTTTCAAAATTTTAAAAATTAAAAACAGTCTTCCACAACGATGCTGAATCACCAAACTCTCGTTTATTTATTTAATAGTCATTAATTATTACATCAAAACAGAAATATCGTGGCTCCAAAACGAAAACGCTTTTGAGCATAACGATCTATTGTTTCTTCTATATTAATATTAAGTTAAACGTATTTGCACTTGTGCATATGTATCTTTGTTCTAAGAATCGCTATTTAAATGACAAAGTTTTCTGGCAGCATCCGACAACCGACCAAGTTTTCCTAGCTACCGCTAAAACTCTGCCAGTATATTGTTTACAAAACAACTGTTGGTGAAACTGTCACGACCTATTCCAAAATATTCCAAATCTACGTTAAAATGTCTTAGAAATTTAACTAAGACGCAAAATTATTTGTTTTTTAAATTTTAAAATTTACCTAAGTACTTTTTATTTCCTTATTTTAAAGTTTGTTAACTTAATAACCACTATACGGATTCGTTATTACAAAATCAATAACCAGTTGCATTACATTGGTTATTTTCACAAAGAAGAGAATCTTACTCAACATTTTTAGGATTGGAAATAAATTTAAATATTATTTTATAATTTTATTCAAAAAGTAGAGTCATGAAGTTCGACAATTGGTTATTTTTAATTTTATTTCGTAATGTCTTTCGTAAATCCACTTATCATTCCATAAACGTATTTCCGAATCGAAATCTTGCCGGCAGTCACTTAAGAACCGATAAAGTATCGATTAGTTTTCGATTGTAATCACGCGTCGTTTCGTTTTGTATTCATTCCGGTATCTACTTTCACAGTTGAAAAAAACATCAAACATCCTTTTGGATGAAAGTAAAAATGATTAATTTATTAAGGGTATGTACGTTTCGTACATTTTAAACTAAAGTGCATTTTAAATAATATAAGTTTGCATTTTGCATGCATTGTTTGTGTTTCCACGCATGTATTTAGATACATAAGAATAAGTATTTATTTTTAAATGTTAATACGATTCGCGTGCATTTACCATTTTAACACATGTCTACGTGTTGAGGTTTAAACAGAGTCAGATTCTATTGTTTTAAAATGATGTATGCGTTCGAATAACCTCGTATATACTTACTTTCTAAATTATTGTTAATAATGTTTTTTGAAATGATGATTCCAAAAAAATTTCTTTCAACGTTGAATTGCATACATAATACCATCTATTTTTGGTTTATAATATTATGTATTTTAGATTTTAAGTTACTTTTCGATTTTGTTCTAAATATTATTGTATTAATAATTTAATTTAATTTTATGATCAATATTAACAGAAATATGTCCAACCTCCCGGTAAATATAGCGTAATACAGGCGACACTGCCAGATCAAATCCACTGAATCGGATGACTCTTCGTTGCTGCAACCCAAATATGATTGATAATTGTTTGAACGTATGATATGTGTATGCCGAGTACACAATATTTTATTCATTAATAATAATTACGTATGAGTAACACGTATGTGTTGTGGTGGCTCTGAAGAAAATCGTTTACTTTAAATTTAATAGTACGCTACAAACCCGAATTCAATCTTTTAAATTCTACATGAAAATTTATTCGGAACTTACAGTTCTTAGAAGCAATCTGAATGTTTGAGAAAATAAAAATATAGTTGTGGCCAAACGGCCCATGCCCGTACCGTGTAGTGGCGGTTGAGAATATCCACTACCCCATATCATCCCGAGGGTGTCGTAAGAGGCGACAGAGGGAGACAGGCAGGAGATGGGCAGCAGCATCCTCATGATAACAACTGTATATAATAAAAAACTGCGGTTGCCAACCCGCTCGCCAAGCGTGGCAACTATGACTAATTTCCCCCTATGAATAACGACGCAAACAAACGGCCCCCAGTCCCCGGTGGCCCCGCTATTCCTGGCTACGGTGGCGACCATGGTAACGGCGGGGCAGGTGGTGTTAAGAATCTCCGGTGGAGGTTCGGTTGCCACCTACGACGACTCGACCTGGCAACATATAACGCACGCACCCCGAGGACTGACGAGAAGATACTGGAGCTGGAAGAAGAGGTAGACAAGTTGCGCTGGCATATTATTGGATTATCCGAGGTCCGAAG